ATTGTCTTGCCAATTTGATACTATCTGGCAGCCACCAAAAGATCTGCTTGGAGATTAGCACTCTGTATTCTGTCCTTATGGTACATATAATTACAGAAAAGATCCATGTATATTACACTTTGTAAATGTCAAAGCTTAGCATGTTGTGATGTGATTTCTTGTCCCAAGTTAGTGTGAAGGCTCCCATCATTTTGTTATCGGGGATTCTAATCAGTAATCTGTAAAAATGTTAGAAACTTATACAATGTATAAAGTTAGTTTTATTTATCAAGGAGCTTATAAGGATATAAGCTCCTCGCATTTATCAATAAATACAACAATATTTAGTGGCCACATTGATTGAAAACATTAACTTAAGTGTAAAATGTTAACTTGGATGTATAAGTAACAGTAAAGTGATGGATAACAAAGTGTGACAGTAGGTCAGCCACTTCTAATCCACCATCCAATATTACAGGAACAGATCCCTAATCAGTAACTCACCTGTCAGGTAACATTACCTGATAACAAACAGGTGTGGGCCGAGCTTAACAATGGCTACACTGTGACAATAGTCCATGTTATCAACCACTATAAGTTTAGGCCACACTAAGTTAATTTGTTGGTTCTCAAGAGTTTGTAGAAAAACATGAAGCAACAGGGGAAAAAGTACAAATTTAGGCATCCTTTATTTTTTGATAACCCCAAATGCTACAATTGGAGCCATGAAGTCAACCCACCATTTCAAACAACGAAGTTTTAATCAAACTACTGCATTGGTAGATGGGAAAACTGTAACAAGTATGAAGGAAAGGACTTTCTTCAACAGTTGGGGCCTAAATATAACCATTTTGGACTTGATTCAGAACCTGAATTTTTTTTGGCAAATCAGAAAAAAAATGAAGCAGGGAAGTCTGGGAACCAATTGTTTTAATTGTTATGGCCTTATGAGTCAAATGATTAACTAGCAGAACTATACCTTTACTGGTAGAACTAAGTGACTTTATTGTGATTGCACGTTGGCTTTGATAATGCCACTTAAGAAGCAGGTATGACTGAAATCCTTTGTAAGGATCTTTGTTTTCCTACAAACATACCATTTAAGTACCTGCAGTGTTACGCACACATCCGTTTGCCTCTTTATAACTAACACTTTGCCATTGACTGAATGCCAATAGGTGGGGATGAAATAGCAGATACAACAGACAGGTACATGTATGAAAAGAGGACTTGTGTAGCATCTAAATGTTGAAGTCAGTACGCTTTCTTATTTTATTTCATGGTTGTTAACAATTTGGCACAATATATACAGTAAAATGTGCCCAAGCTGGCCACCCAGGGGAGTGAGGCAAAGTAGTCTCCTTACTGGTGGTTTTCTTGGGCAGGTAGCTTCATGCTTGTGCCTATGGAAAAAATTAGGACTGAGAAAGGGTGGTTGTTATCACCAGGTGGCTGCCTTGAAGTAGTGGACGGGTTTGACTGTATATAGGCCTCAGGTTTCACCAAAAATTTTAGATAAGTGGAGGTAGTGTGCACAGGTGGTTTTGTGGTTTTTTTGTTGCCCTTTGTGTTTTCCTTCAGCAGAAAAGCCTGTCAAGTAATGATAACAGTTGGTCAAATATGTTTTGTTATGAAGGGTTGACTCATAGTAACAGTTTACTTTCTATCACATCACTAGATTTAAATCCTTGTTTCCTGCAGGGCCCCTAGAATAGTATACAAGTGAGGAAGCACAGTTGTATATTTATTTGTTCAAAGACGTTTAGAATTCCATAGCACTGCCTGTTGGAGAAAGAAAGGCTTTGTACGATCTTCTTCTACACATTTTTCTCTTGAACAGTTTGGTGCCCAACTTGCCCCCTGTACACAGGCAAGCAGACTGGTTCTGGTTTGTATGTAAAGATGTTTCTTTGTGCAGCATTTCCGCTGGCATTGTCTCAGCCAAGTTTAGTGGTAAACAGTTAACCTCCAAGCAGATGTTTTGGTGGCTGCAAGACAGTGAGTATCAAATTGGCAGGGCAGTATGCATTTGCCAGGCAGTAACCTTTTGCCACCCGTTTGGCTGGCTTAAAAAAAAGGTACCAGACTGAGTACAAAATAAAAACCCTGATAAAAATGCCCAGAAACACGCCCAAAAAAAGCCAAAGCCTAAACCTCTGCTTGGAGAGTTGTAAACAGTCCCACACCAGACCCTAGCATTGAGCATGGCTGAGGTATGACAGCAGCTTCCCGCCTACCTGTTGCCATAACAGTGGCAGTATTTAGGGTCTGTTTGGGGTTTGGTGATGTTGTAGGAACAGAACTTATCAGGGCAGATGGGGAGGCACCAATCACTGCAAACCCCCTAGGCCTGGGTTAACAGTACTGGGTAGGGTTGGCAATACTGTTATACTAAGGGAACTTCTATAGGGACCTTGATCAGACTGGCGTAAAGAATAGCCTCTACCAGGCTTCAGAGGCAGCTGGGAAGAGTAGAGGTTGGCCAAATAGACAGATGACATGCCAGGGAAGTTGGTCCACTTAAGGAGTACATTTGCAGACTAACTCCCCTGGCATGTTATCTGTCTATCGGCTACTCTTTCTATCTGCTTCTGAAGCCTGGTAGAGGCTAAACAGTTGTAGGTATATAGAGTACATGCCAGTCAACCCAATACCTCAACCCCCTCTCTCCACCCCCAAGCTAATCTTGACAGGTGCCCCATCATAATTGAACCAGAGGGAATACAAAGGCCTCTCTGTACCAGCAAACTTCACCAGGAGAGAAGTGCTAGTTAAACCAAGGAGGTTATTGGTTAAACATGGCAGAGAGCCGATTCACCTGCTCTCAGGTACTTGGCTACCTCATTACTGAAGTTGTTAGCAAAGTATGTTGCTTGCAGTAATGCTAATAGATTAGATGTGCTGTTTGTTGTCAGATGTGTTACTTAGAGATGCACAGCACTGTCTAACAAGAACTGGGCACTCTAATTGGCATGTGCTGCTTAAGTTGTGTTCAGGGCATGGAGGTGTTCTTAATTGTTCCCTTGTGAACTTGTTAACACAGAACTGCCTGATAGATTGGGTGGGTTTTTCCTTGTCAGGTGTTTTATATGAAGAGAAGTTTTCTAATGACTTGTAAGTATGAAATGTGCTTTCTAATCTGCCAGCTGAGGTTTTGGGAACTTGTTAAAGACGACAAGTATTGTAGTCATACTTTGCAATCATATTTGGAGAAGTTTTCAGGTTTCACCAATTCGGAACTGGGAGTGATGAGTTGTATAGGTTGTAGGTTGTTTTTGCCAGTGTTTGTAAGTCTTTACATGTGAAGTTTGCAAGTTAAGACTAGATTATTATTCTGTACAGTTGTTTCCTTTTTTTTTTTTGGTGGGTAAGCTTTGGCCTTTAAAAAAAAAATTGGGAAAAATCGACATCTAGAACTTCTTAAAAGTTTCTGATACTACACTTAGGTGTCCAACACCTTTTTACTTTGATGTATTACTGAAATTAGAAAAGTAGCAGCATATACATTGTACATGAAACTTGTTTCTTGCTATGTGTACATTAAGTCCAACACCCAGTGATTTACCACTGCTAGGTACTTAATAACTCATTAATCCATCTTATACCAAACAGCAGGTTTTGTTTGATAATAGCCAGTCTGTGTAGCTTGTGTTTGCTGTGATTATTAAGCTTTATAGTATCAGCTGTTACTGACGATAAGGAATCATTTGATCCTGTTTACCAAGTTCAACTCTACTTGATAAATGATACGACTTTAGAGTGTTGGAAATGGAGCGTGGTGGTAACTGTCAGTTGCTAATTGCCTGTGGAGAAATATGGTTTTCCTTCATGCTTAAGTATCTACATTGTACAAATGTACACTGTGTATGTTGCATACTGAGTATCTGTACCATAAAGAGTTTAATGATCCATTAACCCAAAAGTTCGTCAAGTACAAATTGGGTACCACAAGCTGTGGCATAACAGGTCATGGTAACGTCAATAATATGAGAGGTGATATTGTCAGAAGCGTTATCAACAGAACTGTCATTTGATCTGCTGTCCTTATGCTGTACTCTTTGTTTCCTAGAATTAGATCTGTTTTAGGCCATCTGAAACCTAACATTTCTATGTTTATCTGCTGATAAAAAAGTCAGCACCCATTTGTGGAAATATGTCAGCAAAGCTACTGTGAGAGGCCTGAAACCGGCAACTGCAGGCAGTCTGTATAGCTCAGCAGTATCATATTTTGTCAGTACGAAAATTGTTTGGAGGCTCTTTGAACCCATTTATCTTGTGTTACTTTTACACCAAGTCGGAATGTAGCCTTTGACAGTGGGCCAAACTTACTAAAAGGGCTGGCGAAACATGTAGCTGATTCTCAGCTCACTGCCAAGTCAGTTTGGCAAAGGTAACCTTGCTAATTGGATAAAGGACGTTGTACACATTGTTCCTAAGTAGTATTGACAGAACTGTGGCATGTGATCGTGTGCCAGCCAACTGTTCTACCCTGGATGCCAGACCCTGGCACAACACGATACTCCCTTCAGCTGGGGGGAGCCACACGCCCCATCCCATGCAGAGTTTTTATCTTTCAAACAATTAGATATTTTGAGAAAGGGTGCCAACTCTAGGAGTGGGCATGTGGCTGAAGAGGTGCACTCTTCAATGGGTATACTTCTAGGAAAATAGAAGTTTTTGAACACCTCAATCCTTGGTAGGTCTCCTGTGCTCTATGCAGAGCATAGGGTTTGGTGCCCATGTCTATTTCCGTAGCCCTTGGGCGACACACAGTTGTGCAGGGCACTACAGCAGGGGGCTAGTCCACTGGTAGTGCTGTGTGTTTGACCTTCCCACACTCTTTCTCATATGTGCTGAGTGCTAGGCAGAGAAAGAAGTGTGCACCATTTTTAAAGTCTTTGGTATGACCCGGCCGGGGTTTGAACTCACGACCTCCCGGTTACAAAGCGAGTACTCTACCAATTGAGCTATTGTATTAGTTGATAACTCTAGTATAATTGTTTTTTGTTTTTTTTGTGCAGTTCCGAGACAAGTTCTGGTGGACATAAGCTGGCTGACGTTCCCTCTGTCGGGTGACCACAGTTTCGTGGGTGACAGCGGCTTCCCGCCCGGCCAGTCCAGCTACATCCCGAGTCCTGCCACCAAGAAGTACGACCTGATCGGAGAGGAGGGGGCCGTGGTGGTGCCAGGAAGGGAACAGGACGGGAAACAATCCGGTATGTCAGTTAGAGGTGGAAGAGTTTTAAAACCAATAAAAGTCACCAGATATTGGAGTTCTGTATCTGTATTGGTATAGCCAGTATAACCACCCTTCAGCGTAACACAACAGCGTGTAGGTGGCACTTTAGAGGCGAGAACACAATCCTAATTATGGCAAAAAAAGTCTTGTACTCTGTATATATCTATACTTACAGTATGTTTCTGAAGAAGTCTTTTGAAACATTTACTTAAGCAGTCAAAGTACTGTATGTTCTAATCGAAATATTGCAACTCTTTTTTCAGAAAATCCACAAGTGCGGGAGGTTTTAAAGGACAACCCGGTGATTGTGGAGGTTCCCTATGGGGGGATCATGGAGGAAGCCACAGTAACACTGTCCCCCTACATCCCCGCCACAGCCCCAGGTGGGGTTGGGGATGGGCAGCCCGCCAAACTCAGGGTCTTCAGTGACATCCTAGCTACATATGGCTACATCAGGGGTGAGGGCAGGTCGCATTAACTTTGTAACTCTGTTGAGTCCCTCTTCTGTGTTGCTGCCATGCAGTCATTGGAAAGCTGTTCTACTGATTCTATAGCATATCTTTGGAGTTACTGCTGCCATACATACATAGTACTTGAAGGCATGACTATTTCTTGTTCTTGCATTGAAGACTAGCTCCAACTCCAAACCGCCGGCAGCGCTCTAAACTACAATGGACTAATGAACTAAGTGTAGAAATCACTTTTCAGACATACCATGCATGACATAATGAGAGATTTATCAGACCTCCTGTGTCCCTATTCTTGCTCTTTTGTTAAAGGCACAACTATTTCTTGTTCCATTGTTAAAGGTATGACTACCAGCATTTCTTGTTCTTTTGTTTAAACAAACCGGCAGGGCTCGTGACTGCGACTGATTTGGTCGCATATGCGCCCAAAATTTTGACGGTGCGACTACATTTGAAATCACGGTCGCACGGTGCGCCAATAAAAATTTTAGCCTATTCATTCCATTGTCGGCACAATCTTGTGAATTGACGATGAATTGTCGATCTCGCCATGACGCCGCAAAGAAAACGTTGTCATTGGTAGAAAATCTGACACCCCACTGGCGTTTCACAGCAAAATTTTCATGTGAACAACTCCGAATGTCTTTGTTTACATCGTGAAAGCTCACCGATACTCCCGCCGGCCGCCCGCACCCGACCGCATGGTCGCGGCATGACGCTAGTTTTCGGCAGCTCGGCGGAAAAATAATCCATCCCCAGAAGAAATGTTACGCATGAAAATAACAACTACAACTTGCTTTCCTCGTTATATGACTTTTTGAGGCCGTAAAATGTTTAAAACCGTTGAAATTTGCTCGAAAAACGGCTCGAAAATCTACGGCGAGACTGACAAAATGGCCGACGGCGTTTCACAATAACAGTGGTCAAAGGTCAAGATAGCATCCATATGTACAAGATACATGTACTAAGTACATATTACAAGGTGCTAAAACGAAACTTTAAACGCATGAAAAAATTTTTTTCTCGGCTACAACTGAAATAAAAATTCACTTATATTTTTATAAGGTTAATTTTCAAACATTACTGAGAAATTTTCCGAATTTATTGGTTTCTTGTGTTAGTGCGGTTGGATGCTGTGATTGTGAAGTCCCTAATACATTGGGAGAATCAGATGAGATTTTTGAGTGGAGTTTATAGACATGATCACATTTTTATTTGTTCAGCTGTGTCAATATGTGATTTGTTTGGGAAATAGGATTTGGTTTAGGTTTTAATATATCAATGTCAGGTACACCTTTGGGAATAATTGCTCCAAGTTCCAGGTAGTAAATACATGTACATTTTGTATCATGTATTTTTCACTTGTTGAACTTGTGGAAGCACCGTTGGCCCCCGGTTAGGGGTCATCCGGGGAACCTATGCCCAATTTTTTCAAAATTAAGGATGCTGATAGAATTTTTTTTTTAAAGGAAATATGATCTAGCTTAGTTTTTAATATATTAACACCTTTGCAATACAATATTTTTTGTTGGTGCGCCTAGATTTTAGCCTGTGCTCCTAACTTTTTATGGTTAGGAGCACAGTGCTCCTAGGTCAAAAAGTTAATTTGGAGCCCTGCAAACCCATTGACAAGTTTGCCCCCCTCCCGTCCGCAGACAACCCTGAGAAGGCCCTGCTGTACTTCATCCTGGGGATCTGCTCGGGGATCCTCCTGCTTCTGTTCGGCCTCATCTTCAAGCTGACGTGCTTCAGCGGCCAGGACCGGGCCCAGAAGGAGTCCTCGCAGGAGTTCAGCTCACAGGAGGAGGAGAATTCCGAGGAGCCGGAGCTCGAGCACGACCACAGAACTGAGAGGAGACCGGAGGCCATCGAGGTCGTGCGGTGGAACGGGCGCGATTACACGAGACACAATCACACGCTCAACCACTCGCATCCGGGCATGCACCACGAGTTGGACGAGCCACCAGGAACGCGGAGTTTAAACCGGTACTACCCGTAACGTCGCGCCGACGGCTCTACGTGTACGCTCGCGTTTCTTAGCTTGATGTCAACGGATCTTGCAGTCTTTGTTATATAGCAAGGGTAACAAACAATCATTGGTGCAAAATGCTGAACGCCGTGACCTACAACTGTGAGTTGACAAAACGCCCCTATTCTGGCAATGGAACAGGCCAGAGCAGACTGCATGACATGCCGCCATGGACCTTTCCACACCTCTGGAGGGGTGGGTAGGGTAGATGTGGTGCATCATTCAATGTGTTTATAGTGCAATGTAAATAAATGCCCAAATGTGTACCATATTTATTGTGAAATGCACATCAGAATTAAATGTTCTTACAGATGACCTGAGCATGTTACAAGGACCCAAAGCCAAGTTCTGGGTTGTCTCATGGCCTGTTATATGCCATAAACTGACTGGATGGTTGGTGCCAGTGTCCAGGAAAAACCGACAAAGTCCCCAGGCAAATGACAAAGTGAGAAAATTAGGAGAAAAAAGAAAATTATGTTCAATTGTGCCATATTGCAGTCAAGTATGTTGCAACCGTCAAAAAAGCAAGTTGCTGTTGCAAATAAAAGAAGATGTTTCTACAGCTCCATCTAGTGAATGCCAAGAGAACTGCAGGGCCAAGAGATGCAGACGTTACAGACGGAGTCAACACAAACAGGCATCCGACCAAGTTCCCAACACTGTTGGTGTGTTTCGTCAACTTGTTCATTGTGTGTGTCTTGGGGACAGCAGCAGCCTACATGACTAGTCACACAGAAACATGGCAGCCAAAACAACTGAGGAACTACATAACAAAGACTGGACAAGATAGAAAACTGTATTATTATATGACTTATTGCAAAATGCAGAGTTGTGACCAAAGACAAGACTAAGCTCTGTGATAACCTCTTGACTGGGCAGTTTGTCGGTGTGGTTGACAGTTACGTCAGAAGATCATGTTTTAAAGCAAACTTACCGAAGAATTAAAAGTAAAGTTTGAAATTAAAATTAATCTGGCCTAGAAAGATGGGTCAATTTCTGGCTACCGTATTACTTGTAGTACCAGTTTAAATTTTGTTTGTACAGTATGCTGCATCCTTTTCAAGCATACATGATACCAAAGTGATATCTATGACATTCTGATGGACACCTGTCAACAACGCTTGCAGAACTGCTGAACCTGGTAGGCTGATGCCCTACTCTGTGCCAATACATATCTGTGATGTACATGTGCTGTATCTGTGCAGTGTTCCTAATGTTTGTAGAGTATATTATCGTCCATTCGTCTGGCCAAAACAACAAACACAACTATAAACTGAACACAATTGTCAAAACAAAGAAGGCCACAAAAAGTATAGTTCGAAAAATGTTATTGACTCATTCATACAATTCAGCCTTCTGCTACAATGCTTTTTTTTCTACTCCATGAACCATAAGCACAACCCCAATTGGCTTGAAATGGTGATTTGAATTCTCTACAAATACATGTATTTGGAATAACTTCAGACGAGAAAGTTTACCCAAAGTATACCCAAACTTCCAGGTATGGTAGAAGAAATCTTTGAAAATCATGACAAAAGTGTAAATTGGTCTTCCATGACAAGTGATCTATTTTCTTGTATTTATTTGACTTACGGGGAAGGTTCCCAGTGTATGTAAATTAACATACATGTTCTACAGACCACCATAAACTGTGGGGCATGTACTTATTATTATTGTAACATTAATACGATGTTGTATAAAAGACTCAAGTTCTTGCAGTCCTTGTGACAAAAATTATAGTGAAAAGATAAAAATGATACCTATGAATGTTGTAAAGTGAAAGTATATTATGTATGATGTTACTGCAAGAGTTTTTTATTCACCCAAGGAAAGCAAAGTTTTATAATGTCTGCTCCTGTCTGTACTATTTGTAGATTTTCTAACATGTTAGTGAAAAGTTTTTAGTGTTAACAGATTTGATGTTGTGATGACTCTATGCCACAGTGGATACAGGGAAAGAACATGTCAAAAAGTTGTACTTCATATCAGCAAGGAGGCTTCAGTAAGCTATTGAAACCTCCTTGATATCAGTAAAACATGTGTAAGTTACTGGCAATCGTTGGTGTCAACTGTAGCTTTTGATGACATAAGAAAGATGTACATGTAGCAATTTGTCTCCATTTGCTTTACAAGAAATGCTCTACATTTGTTAGATTGGAAGCAACTTTACGTCACTTAATGTAGGAGTATATGAGAGAAGGGACCATGAACAATGACATTGTGATGATAGACAGTGCTGTACCTTTTTTCTTCCCACTTTATTAGCCATTGCTAACACGTCCACAATAAGTTGAGTGGTGTATGTACACGTAGAGTTTCTCTTCCAGCTGAAAACATAGCCAGTTTTTGACACAGCCCCCTCTCTGACATTCAGCGTAAAATTTTTAACTTTGTGCATCAATTAATTTCTTGTACTGTACACTACCATTTGTCATAAAGAGGTTGGAAGCCAGATACATACACTGTAGCCACTACATGTAGTTAGCCGTAAAGCAGTACCAGTTATAATATATACCCAACATTCTCCTTTGCACAACAGACTCAACAACTGCCTCAAGACTACAGTACTAGACTATACCTCATCATTTCATCCTTCTTTTATATTATTGACAAAAGTTGTCAACTTGTCCGTATAAAATTTATTTCTGTCCTACCATGGAGCTATAGTTCATCCTTGAGTAGCAACAAAACTGATAAATTCTTGTTTCTGATCTGTTACTGCCCCCTGGTACAGCTCAACAGTACTGCACTTGCCATGATACAGCTGCTGAACCAGTATTACACACAGTTTTCAGTTAAAATTTTCCTAGCATAATTTTGTCAATAAAACATCAGAGACCAAAACAACACAACTTGGAAACTACATTATCAAGAGCTATTCATTCGCCAACAACAACTACAGTAAATGTACTATCGGTATAGCATTGTCAATGCTTTTTTTTTTTAAGAAAATGAACCCACGGCATACTCATAGCCTGGCTACTATCCTTGTTAGGTTTACATGTGCTCCAATATTGACTATAAGTAGTATAAGAGCAGATATAGACCCAACCAGGATGGTAGCCAGGCTACCATACACCTACCTCTGGTCTGGCTTCCAACAAAACTGGTAACTTGCATGATGTTTACATTGAACTGGCTACTGCATTTCTTGTTTAGTAAAATATCTATCATAGTTTATTGCTTTATAATAGTATAGGAATAAAGTTGATATTTGCCATTTTTTTGTTGTCATAAATGTACAACTATTTTCTAATAAAATTTCTACAAACTTTTGGAGTGGGTTTTGTGCTGTTATTTGATGTACAAGAGAAACTGATATAAGTCTAACATGTAAGATCCATTCAAGCCATATTTATTTCTATTTACTTTAGTTTACATAGTCACAGGGCTAGTCTTTCAAGAGATAAATTTACTGTAACACTTCAGGGGTTTTAAATCTGTCCAACCATCTTGTCTCCTCTGAGTTTATACACAACCTTTCAAAAGAGTAGCAAATACATATGACAAAGGCTTTTATTATGTTATTGTTCCTATCACTGTATCCAATATGAATAGGTTTACTGTGGCTTATTAACTGCCAATACATACCTTTTAAGACCCAGGGTGGACAAGGTAGTAAAGTTTAGCTACCACTCCTTGAACTTCAAACCTCAACACCAAAAGCCATCATGATATTAGCTATTAGAAATTAAGGCACATTTTTATAATACTGACCAAGGATAGCTAAGTTACTAGTTTTCCATTAGAACACTGAAATCCTATCTACGACCCTGCGGTCCGACTATCGCGGCCTCCAGCTGACATTCCTAATTCCATGGAGGTCCTGTTTCAGTTTTCCGGAGTCTGCCCATTCCGAATTCATGTAGGCATCTTCGCTGTCTTCCGCAAGTTTCTACACACCAACGGAGACAATCGCAAACTTAGTAGGTCTGAAGACTTATTTAATCCAGACACGACAAAACAGACATGTAAGGCATGTACATTCAAATCCACAGATAGTGGGGTAAACTACTGGTACCATGTTGCAAGCCAGAAAGCCCCAGATCTTACAGGTCCTCAGGCCACAGCAAGTAAATTTTATGTACTGTACGACAATTTTCTGTTACAATGTTCATGGCATCTGTTTTGCAAATTTAGTTTTCTTTTTTGCCCATCTTTTTTTTCACTCCTCAAATTTGCAGAGGACAGCCAACCAAGAAATTTACTTGCTGTCAGTGTCACCTTACCGAAGTCTGGATGTACATGACATGTATGTGTGAGAGGCCAGTGGCCAGGATTTTTTTTTTTCACACTGTGTAAATAGAAAAAAGGCTGAAGATTCCTGAGAAGTTTGAGAAGTCTTACCTTCATCTCCTCCTGCTTCCTGTAGGCGTGCAGCATCATCTGTTTCTTCTCCTCTTCTGAGAACACAGGCTCTCTCCCCGGGGCACCCTGGCCTCTCTGTTGAGCACAGGTAGGAAGACAGACACACAATTACAGGAGGGCAAAGACGCAACATACGATAACGTTTTTTAATTTACTTCAATTTTCACCTCGAAACAAGGCTCATTTGAACCATTTAGTGTTTTGGGTAACATTAAGATTAGAAGCTGTAGAGACAGATGTTTGTTTGCCGTAGACGATAAACCGGACAGTGAGTGAGTGAGACTTTAAAAGTTTAAGGTTGTAACCATTTGGGATGCATTCACAAGAAAGCTTGTCCCATTGTGATGTATTGCAGAAAACTGCATATATTCCAGAACAGTTCAACAATGGCATCATATAAATGAGATGAATAAACTGCACTGATATTCCAGAACTCTCTGGTATACCAGTAGTTAATACTTTTCGAAGAATTCATTCCAGAACAACTATGCTACAAATACCTTTGAAACATTTTACCTCAATGACATAATCAACAAGCAAGCGTCATCCTCTGTCATTCAAACTATTAAAAAATAAAGCAAATTTTACAGCTAGCCTAATGTCTTACCTTCTGTATTTTAGCAACTATTTTTGTTTTCTCGTTTTTGCCGACATAGTCCCGGAGGTTCTTTCCACGCTGCATCTCCTTCCCTGAGAACCAGAGGCTGGCCTGGTCTTCTGGGATCACTTGGAGGGAAGCCTGGGAAAACAATGTCAGTTATCAATATGTTATGTGTATAATACCACTGTCAGTGTGTTTCTTCACGTGTTGCTCATGTTTTCAACACATCTTTTGCTATACCAATTTCGTTTGTTGGTTCTCAGCTTTTCTCAGAGGAAATATGAAGTGACATTGCGGGAAATTGCGGAAAAAAAGATTAAAATTTTATGGCAGACAACCAACCTCATCCTAGTACTACGATTGTACAGTACACGTAGATGCACTTGTTTGTTGAAAATTAAATGCCAACACAATACTGACTGAGAAAGTTTGTCAAGTGGTATGAGAATATAAAGTTTCAAAGATTTAATGTTCTTTACTCAACATATGTACACATACCTGTGTTCCTTCTAGTTCCTCTTTATCCTCTAGCTCCATCCTGATTGGGTCGTGTGGCGGGAGGCCCATGGGGTACACGATCATGGTGGCCCCTCGCAGCTGGTCTAGCGCATCCTTCACCAGCTGTCCTGTCACCTGCACATTCGCCTGCACCTGTTTCTGTGGAAATAATGGCCCAGGTGCGCATTATTTTCTCTGTAGCTGTTTGAGAGATAGGATTCTTTCAAAAGAGTCAAGTAGTGTGCTCTTAAGTTTAACAAAGGGGAAAAAATAGTTATTGCTATGGAAACAATGGCCCATGTTCATTATTTGAGAAATATAAAGGCTTCTTTCAAAAGAGTCAAGCAGTGTGCTCTTCAGTTCAACACAAGGAAAGACAAAAACAGTTATTGCTGTATTTACAAATACTTGTATGCCAGTATGCCCAAGAAGGAACAGTGTATGTAACTTACTTTGGAAATGAGAGCTTTTGCCTCACTGACAGTTTTCTTCAGAACCTCTTTCATCTTGTCATTTGGAGCTGAAAAAGGTGTCAGTAATCAACAAGAAGTCAGCTACTGTGGTAGGTACACAGTTATAAACATTCAACATTTGGTGACACAACAGATTCTGGATTTTAATACGCTACCTGTGTCTTGTCTTACATGTACAAAATGTATGCCATAGCTTGGCCTCTATTTATTATTCAAATAATGGATTTGGATGTTGAAGTTGATGTTGTTATAGACTCATATAGAGAAGAGACACCAAAGTTGGCATACTGAAATGTATGTATCAACAAAGTATGATATCAACAACATATAACACAGTGTATTCTGTATCCATGTTGTATTCCTTATCTACCTTGTCCATTGCGCCTGCCGATCTCGTCCTGGTTGAAGACAGCCCCTCCGCTGGGCACACACTTCTCCCCCCACTCATCCCTCAGCTTCAGCTCCGTAACCTGCTCGTCTGTCAGACCCTGCATGTTACCAGGCAGGGTCACACCGTGGTCAGCCAACTCCTCCATTTCTGGGGAAAAACAACATAGTCTTAGTTTCACATGCTGTATAAAGACTAGTACTGAAATGTGTACAGGAACAGCCTGTATACAGTCTGTCAGACCCTGCATGTTACTTGGCAGGGTCACACCGTGGTCGGCCAGCTCCTCCATTTCTGGGGGGAAAACAATGTAGTTTTAGATTCATATGTTGAGACTAGTAGTACTGAAATGTGTACAGGAGCAGCATGTTCTTGAATTATAAACAACATACTAGTAGTTTTAGATTCACATGTTGTACAAAGACTTGTACTATAGAATGTGTACAGGAACAGCATTACTTTGTGCATGTTTTTCCATTGTCTGTTGACCTCACTGGTTGATCAAAGGCCAGATAGTTTTGCCAGATAGTTTTGTACATGTAAGTACAACCTGCTTAATTATAATAAGACCGGACTGTAAGGTTTGAACCATGCACACCAGGACGGGCCCCTAATCCTACTCTTTTAGATAACTTATGATAAGTGCAGTGAGACCTTTAGCATGTTCAAGATAGTGCTCTTTATGTCCCATCCAAGAGGATATCCCAATAGAAGCTCTAGGTACTCATTTTTCGAGTCGATAAGGACATAGCAATGGGGACTGGCAAGGATTCAAACCCAGAACCTTCAGATTCTGAGTCAACAACCCTAACCACAAGACCACCTTGCCAGCTAGATCATCTTGTCCCTCACTAGCCGTGGACGACTCTGGTACCCTTTTTGCATGATAATGCCGGGACAGAGTCGTGGTGCAATGCATAGGCCAAAACCAACCTTTGCCGTGCCGGGCCTCATGCAACGGGCCGGCCCCGGATTTTTGGTGTCGCTGGCTTCCCGACGCACTCACCTGCCGGGCCGGGGGGATAAGACCCTAAACAAACGTAGCATTTAATCACAACACCGCCTCGGAGCACGTAACTCCATACAAACCATCGGCGATCGGCGCCATTTTGAAGTTAGGAATCGGCCCGCAAAACAGGTCGGACCCTGAGTTTACGACAGATTACGTCATGATACCTGCAGCTTGAACGTTGGAGAGTTGAAAATAACGACGTAATCTGTCGTAAACTCAGGGTCCGACCTGTTTTGCGGGCCGATTCCTAACTTCAAAATGGCGCCGATCGCCGATGGTTTGTATGGAGTTACGTGCTCCGAGGCCGTGTTGTGGTTAAATGCTACGTTTGTTTAGGGTCTTATCCCCCCGGCCCGGCAGGTGAGTGCGTCGGGAAGCCAGCGACACCAAAAATCCGGGGCCGGCCCGTTGCATGAGGCCCGGCACGGCAAAGGTTGGTTTTGGCCTATGCATTGCACCACGACTCTGTCCCGGCATTATCATGCAAAAAGGGTACCAGAGTCGTCCACGGCTAGTCCCTCACCTGCACAAATTCTCTCCACCTTCAGCCTGCCGTTGTATACTGCTGATACCTCCCTGATGACATCGTCCAGTGGTGCAGCGACAGTCGTCTCGTACAGGAACTGACTCTCCTCACCTTTCTTCACATGGAGAACCACCATGCTGGTCCTTTGATGCTGGTCTGTAGGGTGGGAAAATATGTCTTCAGTGAAGATGGAAAACAATAGCATTCTGGAACAAGCACACACAGACAGTTTTATATTTACAGCAACACACAGATCTAGCAACTCATATTCATAGCTCAAATTCAACACAAGCAAAATGAATCATGTATAAATCTTTTTTTTTTTAACAGTTCAACTGAATTCCTATTCTTGTTCCTGTCACAAGTATTAAGTCCTCTAGATATTTTCCAGAAACTTCTGAACCATTTGGCCTGCACAGTGCACTGGTTAAACCTAGAACTTGAAGGAACTAAAAAAAAAAAAAAAGATTTCTTTTTTATACAGTAGAGAAGTGTTGACTTTGTGAAAAGACCAGAGTTTCTTTGGCTATGTTCGTGGTACGAACTGTGTTTAAACAGCCTCTACTTGTATGAATGAACCATGCAAACCAGCGTCAAAACGGGACAAAAGCAGAGAAGTAAACAGCCGCCCTCCCCCTTCAAGATTTAAACACCGAAAAACAAGAGAAAAAAGCAATTCCAAGTCCCAAAATTAGACAGGCTATCCATGGAAACATACTGAACAGGCTCACCTTCTTTTGTGTGTCTAATTCCGAGTAAAACGTGAAGAAACGGTAAAATCGCTGCAGAGAAGCGCTCACACACCGTCACAACAGACGGTCCCTGGATTCAATATGGCCGCCGAACTTTCTCGAGGGTCAACCGTTGCCCTTGGCAACAAGATAAATATTCACTAAAACGAACATGAAAACCACATCTTAACAACTTTACTACCACATAATACTCTATGACGACTATTTCACTATAAGAAGACAGTAGATTCAGTAAAATCGCTTTTTTTACGAGTTTTGATTTGACCTTCAACCATCGACCCCATCCCCTAGCAACGGCGTTGCTACAACAAAGTACACATGGCAGCCGGGGCGTGACACCTGTTCAGATTACAGCTGATCGCTGGCACCACAATAATCCCGATTTTCTGCCGATCGCGGGAAGTTTTTTGCGAGGTTTTCCAAAATGTTGCACGTAACAACAGAGATTGGGAAGGTCGGCAGGCAAGGTAAGGTTTTAAAAAACACTTTCTTGAACGTTTTTAGTATATTGCACTGGACTGTTGCAATGTAAACAAATGAATCGTGCTTTTCCTTCCCTTGTTACATGTACAAAACAAAGGGATCATGCAATTAAACAACTCAGTCTTATTCAATGAAGCTCTTCGTGATCTAATTTCATTGTGTTGCAAATCTGGACAGAAGGCAAGTTTGGAAATCAATACAAAATCACAGCATGGTCAAATTTGACATTCAGATTTAATCCAACTGTCATTTCAAAATCAACATAGTCTCAATGTATGATCAATGAAAATAAAATAATTTGCTGACAGCGCTACTAGCGAAAATCAGTGACATTTACTTCACAGATTTGTCTTTTTCACCTGTAAATATGATGGGCAGCTAATGCACTTTTGCACCTTTGACACTGAATAATGTAAACTGTTACTTTAGTTTTATATTTCATACCTAGTGTTTTTATTGCAACAATGTAACGTCTTGGGAACACTATATCCTACCACTCAATAGAGCAGATGACTTTACTCTACCCCCCACACCAAACCTGGAATACTGGCTGAAAGAACGCTGAACAGAAAACCATTATGCTGGCACTTGTCATGTATTAAAGCCCTGAATACTATTTGTGACCTTCAGTGGTTAAAATCACACTTCTGAGTAGCCACTTTAACAACCTGAAACTTCTCCCTTTCAAATCGCTCACCCTGGGTCTAGGATAGTTTGGACAAGAAATCAGTCGAGAAAAAATGTACTGAACTGCAGCAAGGTGTTGCTCCTCGACTGACGTAAGAGTTTTCGAGAGGAGGCTATAGCAACAATTTACACAGTTGCTTCCTAAGGTCTGCTTGGAGATTAGCCTGGTAACCAGACCACTGTGAGCTCAGCGCTATCTCTTTGAAGCTGGTAGGGAAATTACCCCCAAGTCGACCACAAAGGTTTGGTACCCAGGCTAGAAGGAGATTATCTACCGAGCAACAGAAATGACGACTCGTCCTGTTTCAGAGCGCGAGAAGAGACATTACGATGAGATGTGGGAGATGGGAGCAGACAGGCAGGTGTACCGACCGTCCGGGAGAGTCTACATCCCGCACGGGAGGGGGCATCCCGCCTCCAAGAGACCTCATCCACAACACGTGGAGCCGGAGTACTCAGAGTAAGGGGCACACTTACAGTTTCATCTGCTTTACTCTACTCTCAGAGGTTTAGGCTTTCGCTTTTTTGCATATCTAACTGCACACATTGTTTAAGCTATCTAGTGATGATGTTCCCACTGTACTTGGAGGCAACAAGTTCCTGTCTACAATAGTTCTAGAAAAATACAAGTTTTTTTAAGACCTCCATCCTTGTTTGATAACTCTGGTACTTGAAGGCATGACTGTTTCTCGTTCTTTTCTGGGCTGGTACTAGGTACTTAGTAGTAGCTACGTCCACCAGTTTATTAGTCGTTTTGTACATCATGCATAGTCTGGAAGTTTTTCAGTAATTCCAAGCTTGTGTTTCCCAGATGCGGACCAGACTGGAAGTCTCGGCTGAGATGGCTGCCACACCCGACCCAACCTAACGCTAAACACCCTCACAGGTTCCACCAGATACTCAGGACATACCCTGGTAAGTTCATAGTTTTTGTATGTTTACTTTGAAACAAAAAACACCATCCAAACAAGAACTCCTACCACACAATCACAATAAGCTGCCTCAGCTCAAATGATCCACTGACCTCTACCAAAAGACTTTGTTCAGAATCACTGTTTTCTTAACATGTTAGCAGAACGTACTGTGTCTGTGTGAAACTCATGTTTTTCATGCTTTTTGTTGTATGTTTGGTCAACGTTGCATCAGAATTCTTCCTGTGGCAGATAATATCTTTTTCAACACATCTGAAAAGTGTAGACTAGATGCCATACTTAAATACACAAACATGACCTGAAACAAGACGTTCTGCTATACATAATACATTACAGGTTTTGCACAGGCATAGAACATTCTGTTGAATTGCTTGTTTCCTTACTTGTTCTAAATGCATGGCTGATATTTTCTCCAGGAATCCACAATGCCCGTACGGGTACAGAATGGACGGCTTACCCTAACCACACCCTCCCGTTTGGCTACCACACGGGGAAGCGCTGCTATATAGAAGGTTCCCACCAGCGCAGTCGGCAGTCTTTTGAAGAAATCACCGACACCATGAGGCTTGGAACCAGGTTCAAGGGTAGGTACATGTATTCTCCTTCAGAAATAAATGTGGAAGTCATTTGGCTGTGTCTGAGAGACTTTGGTATCAAAAAGACTTTCTCAAATGGTTGTTCTTAGAAATTTATGATTTAGACGTGGCACAATCAGTATATATAAATGCAACCCCACTGGTTAGGTGGCTCAAATTCTGTGGACCAGAGTTAGATCCTAGGGTTGGTTCAGCTCAGACATGTTGTAAGGGATTGCAGTCATTTTGGACGGTGACAATATGCATAAAGCCAGCGGCCCCATGTATGAGGGAACTTCAGGCAAAGCCTCAAGTGTCAAACATGTGCATGTAAAAGAACCTAATTCACTTATCGAGAAGACTAGGGGTGACCTGGTGTACTCTGCTATAAAATGCGAGCTGTAGCAAAGCTGCATTGCACTCTAAGCTACTTGAAAAAGCATCAGTTGATGATGACTGCTTTACCTTGTACCTAGTTGGTGATCCACGAGGCGGTATCCCAGCAGCCTCTCCTGGAGACAAGTCGTACCAGGTGCCAGAGTACTCCCCGCAATTCCACCAGATGGGATCAACCAGACCTGTGGTCGTCTTCGGGTAAGGGGAAACACTTCCAGCAGAAAAATAAGTCATCTCCAAGCAGATCCTACGGTGGCAAGACAGTAACTATTGGCCAGGACCACCAAGGTGGCTAATGGTTACAGGGTGGCTAATCTTCACGGCTTTGGATACTGTCTTGCTGGGATCTGCTTGGAGATTAAAAAACCAAATACTAGTACATGTATGTTGGCAGAAGTACTTTGCCTGCACAAAACCTGTGATGTATTGTGCATAGCACTTTGGCAGAATGTTGCGTTTAAGGACATATTCGCATATTTAAGGAAGACGTAACATTGTAGCGACCAAAAGATCTGCTTGAAAATTATAGATTGCATCTAGCTTGCTTTAAAGTCAATACTGACAACCTTTCATCTCCACAGGGGCAGTGCCAAAGTGAAGCCTGACACTTTTATCCCTCTCATCCCCCTGCCAGCAGTACCTGTGTAAGTACAACTCTTCACCACCGCATGCCTGCAAAGCTGGTGTGTTACCTAGAAGGGCAGTTCTGAAAGGCATACAGATACAGAAGATGGTGTGTTACACTGAAGGGCGGTTATACCGACCATACAGAAGCTGGTGTCTTACACTGAAAGGCAGTTGTACCTGCTATACAGAAATAGAAGTTGGTGTGTTACACCGAAGGGCAGTTATGCAGGCTATACAGACAGATCAATTGTAGTGTACAACACTTTTATATACTACCGGGTAGTAGCAAGTCTTTCAAGGACAGTAGGGGTTAGAGACAATTCATTTTCTTCTTTGGTACCTTTACAGCAAATCTTACAGACTGAAGGAGAGAGAAAGAAGGCACACGGCTGAGGTCAAGACCGTGGAGAGACTGGAGTTGTGGCGGCCTGCGACCCCCCTGGAAGTTAGCCCGGTCAGCAGTTAGAACAATCTTGCCAGGACATATATTTGTTTCAAACCTTCATACATCACATGGCTGTTCCAGAAAACAATGGGGTAGATGGCAGATTCAAAGTTATGCTCTCATATTCTACCTTACGCCTAACCCAGGGCCTGGAAAAGTACACAATGTACATCTGTGTGTCATGTAACATCAGCATTACTGTGCATTTCATTTTCACCTAACTCACCCTTTTTCTGAAGGAACCCTTAAAATAACATGTCACATGCTGCTGCCTGTAACAATGCTTGTAAATAATGTGTACCTGTTTGTATTTTTGTATACTAAGTATGTTGCAACGTGCTGCTCATGACATTTCTTTATATTTAAGAGTTAAGAGTATAGTTTGGTGATGTTTAAGCATTACAACTGTGGTTACTATGCTGGTGAGAGGGCAACCCATGATTTTTTTTTTAACAAGGGTTGGTGGATTTACAATGAATTGGAACAACTGTAAGCATGGAGTTCTAACTCCATGCTGTAAGTAAAAGTATAGAAAAATCATGGTTGAACCCTAGGGTAATATCTTAGTGTATGTACACAGTACAGAAATATTCTTCTGTACACACTATCAGTGGTCAATTGAAATTTCTTAATGTGACCAGTACTATCCATGTACTATAGTTAACCAGTTACATTTTAACTGGGTTTGTTGGGTGAAACCAAGGAGGCTAAAAATCTAAATTTTTAGCCTCCTTGGTGAAACAGAATAGATGTCAACATCAGATTCCAACAGAATGTTCATGGTAATCCTTAAGTACATGTCAGTGCCATGACTGCTTTACATAATGTGTATAGTACATAGAACTAAGTAAGGGTAGTGATTAAAGAGTACAAATATTAGAGGACATATTGTAAAAACTTACAAACTTTATTAGAAAGTGCTGCAACAGTATAAAACAAGCACAGAGTATTTACAAAGAGAGAATAAAACTTTGTCATTGCATATCATTATAAAACTCTAAAATGTTAAATGGAGTTTCTGTAACCAGTAGCTAACAATTTAACTAAAACCTGCTCCTACTAAAACAGTTTAAACAGTTTTTATCACATTGTACAACACAAATAAAAAGCTATTTTCCACAATCGTTGCGAGAACATGTCTCGTGTGTTTCTGTGAACATTGAGTCTCTTCAGCATGTGTTAGGTGGTGTCATCAGTCAGTCTTGTGACAGGCTGTTATTGTCCATCCTTAGGATCAGCTCTGGGGACTTGGCAGTTGCTTTCACATAACATGAGCCAGGTTTTCTGTAAAAACAATTGTTAGAAAATAAGAAATTTTACTATTTACTTAGACTTCACAGTAGCCAGAAGACAATGGCTAGGTGCTGCATAACTATGACATGAAGTATACTTCTTATCTCTATACTTTAAATCTATCGAATATGACAACAACCAAGATGATACAACAAGTTCATACAACAAATACTGATTCAAACTTAAACCAATATACTATTTCACATACCTTTTCCAGGACACTGTGCAAGAAAATTTGGCTTGATGTTCTTCAGGGTCTTGAATATACATTTGAGTTTCTAACTCTTGCAGATGCTCTTATACTAGTGCCAATCATGTTTTTTTAGTAAAAGAAATAATTCATAAGATTTAACAGAAGAAATGTTTCACCTGAAACGATGTTGATGACCTCCTCCACGTACTCATCTGTGTTGTGATTGACACGGTTGCCAGGGGTGATGCCCAGCTCGTAGTCTGGACCGTACTCTGTAAAGTGCTGCAAACACAGAAGGGAAAAATGGGAACTGTAGCATTGTCTTCTTCTTCTTCCCAGTACGTGCAAACCTCAATTGGTTGAGGGCTCCAGCACGGTGGGGGTGGGGGTATTGGATGGGGTGGTCGCTTGTACAAGTTTTGTGTGTGTATGTTGTGGCCTGCAGCTCCTCAATGGGCAGGGTTGCCACTCCCTGTCTGCCACCGAGAGCATGGTGGCGGTGAGTACCCGCAACTGGTGTTCAGAACTACACGGTGCTAATGGCATGCTTGAAGGCCTGTAATGTCTAATGGCTTTAACAATATTTTCTGATAGACAGTTCCACTCCCTAACCATCCTAGAGAAAAAGGAGTTCAGATGGTAATCAACTCGTCGTTCCATAAACCATAAACCTGCTACACTGCAATTTTGACTTTTAACTAAAAATCTGATAGCCTCTACCAGGCTTCGGGAGGTGACAGGAAAGAGTAGATATTGGCCAAAATACTACTAGTATAACATGCCGAGAGAGTTGGTCTGCTAGAGAGTACAGTTTGCCACACCCAGGGTGTGTTATCTCACTGCTTGGCCAATTTCTACTCTTCCTAGTCGCCTTCCAAAGCCCAGTAGAGGCTAAAAAATTTCCAGTATACAGCACAGTTTTAATGACAACTGCAACTTTAGGCCAAACGTGGATGTGTGGTTGTGTTGGTACCTCATGTTCAGGAATGTCCTGAGGAAGAGACTTGCCCAGAACCTGTGCTGTAAGGGCTGTCCAGCAGCGAGCAGTGTTCCCAACGTGATAACCACCTGAAAAGGGAGGTGTGTGTTACAGAATGAAAGGTTAACATGGAGATGAAAGATCTGTAACATCCACACTACACTGAAAAATTCCAATCCAAAGAAAACAAGGTAAGATCTTTTTTTAACAATTTTTGTAGCATAAACTGTTGAACTGTCACACACACAAAAAAACAAAGACACAATGAAAAGTTAAGACATTTGAACATGCAAAAGGGATATCTGATGAGAAAAGTCTGAAGCCTGTATTTCACCCATCATTTACTTGGTGATAATTCAGATAAGTGTGTAACTTCTAATGCCTGTATAGTTACATGGCTGCTGAATGATTTAGTAGGAACCAGGTACATCTGACACTCATGATAACAGGGTTTTTAACAAAACATAAATGACTATAACAACCTATATTTTGCTTTCAAAGAATCACAACTACAAAAATTCTGAAGGCTCCTACCACCGCCCAGTAGCAGGGTGGGGAGTTTCCAGTCGAGCACAACCGCCAGGCATCTCCCCACCCCCTGGGGCGTCAGGTTGAAGCAGCCCATGGGGTCCCCGCTCATCCCGTCTGCTCCCAGCTGTAACACCACTGCCTCGGGTCGGTAACAGCTCTCAGCCTGGCTAACCACTCTGTATTAACAAAAGAAAAAGTTATCAAAAATGTACGCATCACTAGTCATTCTCTCTATCTCGTCCACTCTGTTCTACATCTGCAGTCATATATACATTCAAATTCACATCCCCAAAACCCAAACATAAGTGTAGTAGTACTAGTACATGTATGAAATCTAAGACATTGGAAAAAGTCTGACGGATTGAAATGAAAGGTATGTATTTTAGTCCCACATTTTTTTCATCTTGATGTACCATTGCTGTGATAAACAAATGTATATATAAGTAGCTGTATCTACACCATACTAGTATGGACAGCATCTGTATCTACACCATGCTTTAAGCAGCCATATACATGTATACACTATACAGTACTAGTATGTGTCTCTACACTGTGTTTTACCCACTTGTTAAACACACTGAAGTACTGAGAGTCCTGTATCCCATCTCTGAGAGGCACGTTGACTGTGTAGTACCTGCCCCTCCCCATGCCTGTATCATGGATGTCTCCGGTACCTGAGGACAGACCAAGTCACAACAGTGGAATGTACCAAGTATTCATTTCTCAAACATCCATTCTGCTTACAATACATTACAGTGTAGTAGAAAATTGGGTTCAAGACAGCTTATAACAATTTTACGCAATTGTCAAAAACCTTATTTTTTCATAAATTTTGAATGCAATTCTACAGGAAAATCATGCACAACACATACTGACATGAGCATCTCCTAATACATATTTTGGTCTATGGAGAAGGCTTCAAGAGATGACAACATTATTTTCAAGTCTCTCTGACCTACCTGGGAAGAATCCTGTGTCAAATTTGTGCAGAGATAGCGTCATGACTCGAGACGTACAACAGAAAGCATCTTCTACACCTGAAAGTGAAAAAAAATGGAGTCAGTTTCACGAAAAAACTTAAAACTATTTCTTAAATTTCTTGAATAACAACAAAACGAGAGATATAAGACAATTTTTGGTAGAAAAAGAAAGACCATAACGCACTTGTTTGCTAATTTCATGAACTCACCATCCCCGTGATGTAGATCCAGGTCGATGTACAGCACTTTACTGAACCTTTCCCTGAGCCTCAGGATGGCGAGCACTGGGTCATTCACATAGCAGAAACCTGATGCCTCGTCTCTGGGGGAACAAACACTCACATGTGAACAGAGGTTTGGGTTGAAATACTTTTGCCTACATACACCAAAAATTATTGCACCAGACAAGTTTTACCTGCACCAGACTGCTGGAAAAGATATTATGAACTATGGATCAAACTGGAAATTGTTAAGAAAGCATTTCATTTCTTTGGTAGGCATTTCATAGATATTTGGTACTACAATAGGCACAGCAAAAGAAATTCACAAATACGGTACTCTTGTATCCAGTACATGGACCAGTGCAGTTTAAGTAGTGAAAGTAGACATCAGAAATACCGGCACAGGCCCAATTTTACCTGAAGGTGGTTCCAGTATTTCGAGCTCTGTGTCAAAGGCATGGATGTTTCCCAGCAATTCATACAACAGAAACATTATGTCAGAAAATGTGTAGCATCCACAAATTGTCTCTATACATACTTCTTGGCATGGTGCCAGCCGCCGTGCCAGTTGATGGCCACCCGACACTCCCCGTCTATCAGACACTGGGCAGCGGTCAGGGTCGCCCCGGCAACCATGGCTGCATACTCATACACACCCGGCAGGATGGGACAGTCATAGCCTGGAAAATATCACAGAATTAGTTAGAAGATGAACAGAACAGAAACAAGATATGGGGGACGAGCCTTCTTGCCTTTCCTATGCAGTCAATCAGATTAAACAGGGATAAGTGGAGTCTATATTGGCTGCCGGTAACCATTGGCTACTTGTAACTTAACCATTGGCTGCCCAAGGGCAAATAATAACTTGGGTGGCCCCTGCACCTGAATGAATCTGGTTAGGGATTATATAGTACATGTATCGACAGGGAGAAGGTTTAACTTTAAGTTTAAGTACTTGTTGAAGACTGAAGAGACGTTGATGACTTACACAGACCAAACTCCTCCGACACATCAATGTCCTTCTCCTCGTCCTCCTCTGCACTGGCCTTCCTCAGGTGGTCGATGTAGTCTGTCGAGTGGAAGGACGTCAACTCTGCAACTGTAGCCGGCCGAGGCTCAACAAGTCTGTGAAAAAAACAAAAGTTTTAAGTCACCAAGGGTAAAAAAACCATCATGACCAAGTGAAATACATGTATAGCACCTAGAGACTACATCTAGCATATACTATTATATAGATGTCAGGCACAAGAATAGCCGTGGCGACTCTTGATTCGGGCTTACATTGCATTACCCTCAGCAAGAGTCGTGGAAAGATCCATTGGCAGAACTGCACATTTCCCGTTGGCTGCACGATGCTCCGTTTTTGACCCGGTTTTTTGCTGTCCCGAGCTTCCCTACAATATAACTCCACAATTGGCCGGGTTGCCGATGTTTAGATCAGCCTAAATATTCCACAGCGCGACAGAAAAGTAGTAAAATAGCTAGTCGGCACAAGCTGGCGGCCATCTTGGAATGTCCGCTACCGCCGTCGGGAACGCTCGGTAGCGTCACGATTACCGAAGC